TTTTCTAGGAAATCTGCTGTTTTTCTTTTCTCTATGGAAATGTTCTGGAAAATATTATTACTTTTTTATCCAATGGGTCTTTCAGTACATTGGTCATTGTTCTGTTTTTTATATTTCCCTCAAATTTCACAAAGTAGGCTTCAATATCACGTATTCCACTCCAAATCATTCCCTATTGTGATTCAATGTGTATTTATTTTTACTAGTGAGTTTTGCACAATCAAGCAAAGTGGACAGTTGGGAGAGAATATTTCAGTGCTATATTCTATCATCACATGTGTGTGACTGAGTAGATTCCCTCAGCTTTGCCTAAATTGTCTGCGAATTCAGGTTTCTAAAACAGAGTAGTATACAGTGTCAGGCTCGAAGTTCATTCCACAGATCCCTCTCCCAAAGCGCTTTGGCAACTTATTAAAAATAGGATTCTGCAGTCCTCTGAAGAATCTTTAGGGTTCTCCTTTAAGAAAAACAAGGACTGGTTTGATGAAAACAATCATGAGATCCAGGAATTGTTGAGGAAGAAGAGAACTGCTCACCAAGCCCATATTGCTCAGCCATCTTGTCATATAAGAAAAGCAACCTTTCGACTCACATGCAGCAAGCTACAACAGAAACTTTGTGACATCCAGAACAAGTGGTGGATCAATCTAGTAGAAAAAAATCCAATTATGCGCAGATACAGGTGACTACAGGGGATTCTATGAGGTTCTGAAAGCAGCCTACGGTCCTACACACCAGGTTCAAAGCCCTCTACTCAGTACAGATGGCCTAATGCTTCTCACAGATAAAGTTTCCATTTTGAATCGATGGTCTGAACACTTCCAGACTCTCTTCTGTACCAGCCGTGTAGTTCAGGACTCAGCAATGCAGTTCATTTCACAACAACCAATGAAAACTGAACTGGATACTGCCCCCACCATGGGAGAAACTCTTAAAGCAATACAGCAGGTGAAAATTGGCAAGGCAGCTGGAGTTGATGGAATCCCACCTGAAATTTGGAAGTACGGTGGCCAAGCACTCCATGTTAAGTTTCACGAATTTGTGGTGAGCTGCTGGGAATGAGGTGTAGTGCCTTCAGACCTTCGTGACGCTGTCATCGTCACCTTGTACAAGAGGAAAGGAGATAAATCAGACTGCTCAAATTACCGAGGTATTACTCTGCTCTCCATTGCTGGTAAAATCCTTGCAAGAATTCTTTTGAACAGACTAATACCCACCATAGCAGAAGATCTTCTACCTGAAAGCCGATGTGGTTTCCGAGCCAACAGAGGTACCACAGACATGGTATTTGTTCTCAGACAACTGCAAGAGAAGTGTCGGGAACAGAACAAAGGACTCTAT